GCAATTAGGGTGAATCTCCTTCATTCTATGAACTTCTTTATTGTTTATTGAATTGAATGTTTGGTGTCAGAGCTCGTGAAGGGACCCGTAAACCATCATGACACAGGGGAATGGGAAGCGCAATAGCAACCCATAAGCTTTACTAATAGGGACATTCATTTGTGGGACTTATTTATGTTCCACATTAGCATTTAACATTTTTTTTTTTTGACATAATATTGTAACGGAATGACCGTATTGATTTGTAGCAGCCATTTTCAGGGCCTACATTGATCGATTTTCAATTTCAGGAACTATCTTGATTGGGTGGGTCAATTTTAGGGAACATTTATGATACAAATCCAATTAGTTTATAAGTATTTATCTCATTTCTTAAGGTGTATTTAGGATATGAATTTTTTTCCTTCTAAATATATGGTTTTGTTTTTGTGGTATATTTTTTATGTAAGATTTATTATGACAAGTTGATAAGAAAAATGTCATTGTCTGTCTCTGCAATCAAAGTTTGAATCTCTCTATCTGTTTGTACCCGTAATTTAAATTAATTAAATATGATCATCACTCAGATAAACAAAAAATACACAGTGCACATACGTATTTTTCATATACAAATTTACTATTATCGCATTAGTCCAATATCTTAGTGAATATAATGTTCAATTTCTACCGATGCATTCTGAGTTCAAAACTCTCCCTCCCTTCAATTATCGTAATAGTTTGGAACTCTCATCCTCTCCTCAATAATAATGATTTAAAAAAAAAAGGTTCTATTATTATCCACCGTCACCGGCCCACCCCCTTGACGGTTGTCGTCATGGAAGGTTTTGTAATTTGCTTACGGTTGAGACAGAATCAATCTACGCAGGACTTTGAAGACAACAAAAAGAGTGCAGACGAATAACATTTTCTTATGCAGTCTGTAATTAGTCATTGCATGGTTGAAGTTGAAGGGTATACGCCAAATTCCTCAGGGTCTTAATCTTAGTACTATTTGCTGCATTAAGGAATAATATGCATGCCACGACAAAGTATTCCAACGCATGATAGCTAATCTTACCTTCCAAAGTCCTAATTTAATTTTGGTCTTTGTTTTTGTTTTATTTATTAATCTGATAGTTAGAAATTAGAAAGAAAAGAAAAAATATGTGAGATATTTAAATGAGTGTGTGAATGTCATCTCTCTAAATTAAATTGCTAGATATCCTTTCTGTGTTTCAGCAATACGAGATGAGAGTTGATTTTTGTTAGAAATGCTAACTAGCTAAGTACTTTTATTTATTGAACTGAAATTCAAATTCGAGCGAAAAAGAAAACACTAACATAAACAACTGATTTAATTGTAATTACCAGTTAGTCCCATTAATTCCCGGTTCCAAACAATAGTGTATTGCATCATCCATTTCATGTATGTTAATTCATGTTGTTCGATTGTGTGATAGGTATTTTTGCTTGGGGTTATTAATCCAACTTTTAACTTTAGCATGGACTGGTAGCTAGTTCATCAGCTTGGCATGACCTGCAAGGTTGGCATGGTTTGCCACACCCTGTCCATGGTTCCATCGCCTCATCAGTTGCTGGCTACTGAAAACTAGAAGCCACAGTTGAAACGTTTGAATGGGGGTAGTTTCGTAACATTATTATTGTTCAAATGGAAACCCTAATAGCTAGTGGGAAGGTTCATCATTCATATATTGTGAGAGCTGCCCCAAGTTTGATGAGGATACTGCACTTACTAACTTTTCTTTCAGCAGCGAAGCATGATTCTTCATGATTCTTATTTTAAAAATCATGCTTCGTTGTTGAAAAACCAACAAACAGACACGTGGGAATAATTAAAATTGAAAATTATGATTGGATAATTGTTCATTAGTGAGTAACACTTACTGCTCTTCTTTCATATATGTTGCCTCACTTAACTCAAACGAACGTACTTCTTTGGTTTGAAAACAGGGAAGTGATTGTCATCTCATTGCTATACCGTAAAAAGAACTAATCACTAACGAAGCTCACTGCAATAGGTTGTATAAAACAAACTAACCCACCAAACTATGGTGGTGCCATGTGAAAACCAACGCAAGTGAGTACAATGAGGTGTCACAAAAGGAATTGGATCCTCTCCTGAGTAGGAGATCAGGATCCTCCTGACCCAATAACACTGACTATTGTATTTTGATCAAACGGCTACAAACAGATGACACTTTTAAAAGTTATAATAATTGTAGCCGTTGGATCAAAATCCAACAACCCGTGTTATTGGGCAGAAGGATCTTGATCTCCTGCTCAGAAGAGAATCCAATTCACAAAATCATACAAAGCACCCGAATTCCAGAAGGAACGATACATATAGATGCATTGAGTCATTGACCTTGTTGTGCTTTAGGTTGGCCTACTCAGAAACTGATATGTACTTTGGGGCGGTGCATGCGTGCAGCGAGTGCCATCAAATGGTAAAAAGTCCAAACACACAATTGCCAAAACCTACTTTGTACTATAATATCTCTGCATGCACGGTTGATATTATTGGCAAACCACATGAACCACTAGTATATAATGTCCAACCACTACTTTCAAATTTAATTAACTACCCAAATAAAGGAGAGTAATTTAGATGGACCAGGTACACTAATGCGGTGGCATTCACTAATACAAATACGATATAACAATTTTATTTCACATGATATTGTATTGTTAGACCAGATACACCGTCACAGTGACATTTCAGTCTAATAATTTAATGTCATGTGTTAATCTCACTTCGTAGACTATTGTGTTATTAGATTAGGATGCTAGTATCCCCGGTCTATCTAAATCATTCTCCAAAAATAAGGAAATTGATGTTGCCTACTCATTTGCTCTATCATTAAATTGCTCTGATGAGTCTCGTACAAACGATAGGACAATGTACATTAAATTTATCTAAACTAAGGGAGGATTCCAGCATGAAACTTTGGATGCATAGACAAATACTCTTAGCCAATTGAACTACAAGCCACTTGTTAACGAGTCTCGTCTTTTAACCAATAGTTTCATACCATCATCCCATTGCTAAATCAAGAAAATTGACCTAGCTCATACAGAATATTTTGGCTAGCTACACACCAAAATGGTAGGCACAGCACTACGCACTACCGTTTAGTGGCCACCTCACAAGAAAAAAATGCAAGTTTTTCGATATGGTGATAAGTTAGAAAGTTCAATTACCAAACCATATAGTGGTAGAAAAAGTTTTCAAAGTAATTAACAACATATATTTTGATCCTTGGATCAAGTTTTATATGCAAGCAATTTATGGAGGGGAAATCAAACCAATCCTAAATAAAGAGATAAACGCTCTTAATCACTTGAGCTACAAGTCTTTGTGTGTGACACTCAACATTAGCGAGAAATAGAATCAACTATTTGTGCTTTAGGTTAAATGTCCCGTGATGTTTTAATATCCCAGATTTATAGCCCTAAGAACTTCTTTTGATATTAAACTTCAATGTTTAAATCTCATTGTTCATTTTTTGGATTACTCAATGTTACGTTGCATTGTAAAAATCTTGAACATTTTTGACAAACGTACATCATTGCAGTGGGAAAAGATTTAATTATGGTCCGAGTGGTGTTGGGTTATAGATGTTGATGGCTTCCTTTTTAGGGGACTGGGATCAATAAAATGCTGCTGTCTCAGAAAAGCACCTTGACAATTTGACACAAGCACATGCCCGATCACACGCCCTACTAAGTTACTCAAACAAAGCTACAACCTAATTCTTATTTTAGGTCTAGGAGGGTCCAATCTGGTTTGATTTTTATCTCGGGTTTTATCATTAGGCCATTGATTAAAATTCTAACCTGCGAACCGACGACGCTTTATTTCATTGGAGTAAAGTAATTATGTTTATGCATTCTGATTCGAATTTGACTTTTACAAATTGTTTTTTCGTAAAAACTAACTATATTTAAATTACTTACTAATATTATTGCTTTACTAAAAAAATGTCTAAAATGTGACGTTTAGTAATTCAAGTTTGCATCGTAAACTATTGTGCAAATTTTTATTTTGATAACCAAAATAGAATTGAGAAAAATCTCTGCGTAGGGTTCCATCTCAATTTGATGGGAAATTTTAGAGAACGGAGAAGAAGATGCAGGACATCAAATATCAGAATTTAAACTCATTTATCATTAATAAATAATGTAGTGAGTATCACTATTATTTGAGGGTACAACAAAAATATTTCAATATTTGTCATAAACTAATACGATTTTTAATTTTTCAAATTATGTGGAACTAAGATGTGTATTTAAGCATGGAAAATATTTTTGCTCAATACCCTTAAGTAAAAGTGGTGCTCCTTATCTTATTTATCACTGTTAGATGAGTTTAATTTCAAAATTTGTATAGTGTATAGACACAAATCTCAAAATTTAAAATCACACAATGATACGAGTAGGGTGTTAAGCATTACCACGACTTGAGGATGGTAAACAAAAATGCACCCTCAAACGAGTTCAAATCTTTTGTACGCATTTTGTATGTAGCCTCTCTGTGACCTCTATAATTAATTGACACAAGTTTATAAACTTACTGCTTCTTAATTTTGTCGTAATAAGTTCAACACCTATCAATCACTGACGGAGACCACAGAGATGTGGCCACACAAAATAGGAGCGCCGAAAATTAAAAATCCCCTTAATCTTGTGTACTAGAGCCAACAGGATTCTTTTCGGATCCTTTTGGTGAGAATCTTGGGGATTCGTAAATCGTATATGTTCATCGTACATCATGCGGTTAATTTTTGTCAGATAATGTTTGTATTTAATTTTAAATAAAAATATTTAAATATTTTCTGACTGCACGATGTAAAATGAACGAATATGATTCATGAATCTCCGGATCCTGATTCGTACTAGAGAACCCTCTATGACTCAATGTATGCTTATTTACAAATAGGTCATGAGGGCTGGGCCCAATAATAGCATTAATAAGAGAAAATGAAGTCCATTTGCAAATGACGACCAAAGCCCTAAACCAAAGCAATTTCCATCCCAAGACCGTATTCAAAGTTACACTTGAAGGTCGCAGCAGAGGAAGCTCCCCCAACAATGGCGACCCCCAAAAAGGACACACCGCCAAATAAAACCAAAGAAGCAAAGAAGCCGAGCACCAAATCCCCACCGCCGAAGAAAAACCAGCAAACAAAGAAGCCGACCACCGCCAAGGCAAAAACCCCTGAGAAAAAGAAGCCGAGCAGCGCCAAGAAATCCACCAACATAAACAAGATCACCAGCAACGGAAATGCGAGAGAATCCGACGTAGAGGCGGTTCCGTCGCCGAGCTCCGAGTCCCGGAGAGGCGCAGAGCAGAATGGGGGTAAATTTACGAAAACGCCCACCCCGAAGTCGAAGAAGGGCACGGAGAAAGGAAAGCGAAAGCGAGAGGGGGAGGTCGCAGATGAAGAGGAGGTGAAGGCGTATACGTTTCCGATGGAACGTGTGAGAAGGATTATCAGAAGCGAGTATTCGGATTTGCGGATTAGCAACGACGCCGTTTTCCTCATCAACAAAGCCACCGTAACTTCCTGACTTCCTCTCACAATTTCCGAATTAGGGTTTTCATTTTTTTAATTAATTTTTCGAATTTTGGGTTGCAGGAGAAGTTTCTGGAGAAGTTCTGTGAAGAATCACATGCGTGCTGTGTTAAGGACCGGAGGAAGGCTATTGCTTACAAGCACCTAGGTAATTTTCTCCTCCTCACTATGAATATATTATTTATTTATTTATTGGATTTTAATTAGATATTTGAATTTTCATTTTTTATTTCGTCTGTGATTACTGCATTGTTATGAGTACTGAACATTTTGATCAAATGGGTGTTCGAAATGATCGAAATTTTCTCAAATGTTATACTGCTATAGCGTTCTTATGGTTCGGCTTCGTGATTTGAGGTATTTTTTACATGATTTGTTCAAAATCGAAATGGAGTTAGCATTTCGATTTCCTCATGAAATGGGGAGGTCCCGTTGGTAAATCATCTCATTGTGCGATGTAAATTGTACCTCGATCATGTTTATATAGCGGTTAGGAAGTGCAAACATAGAACTCCTCTGGGTAGGATTGGAGAGTCTTGTTCAAAATGACCTCTGACTTGTTATGTACATGGTTGCCATCAGTTTATGTGCATCGGGTAGTTGGCTTCAGTTATGAACAGAATGTAGCCGTCGTTGCTAGAGTTATGTTGTTTTTCTCTGGCGTGTTGATGAAATTGTGCTTACAACAAAAGCCGACCAATATGTATTGTTAAGAGGAACAAGGTTTTGTTTTGGATTGTCTAATGTCAAACAAATATTTGACAATATGAAAACTTCGAGTGCAGAAGATTTTGTTACGAGTGAAGAACCACCATTTTGATTTTCCTTTGTGTTTATAAAAGGCCTCTAGCTGCCCTGCTGAAAACGTTTTTCGTTTTAGATTTCGAGACAGATGATTTTCTCGTCACGGTTACTAGAAACTGGATTTCTAAACCTTGCTTACAACTCCTCTTTCTAACGCTCTTAACAGGGGAATGCTAACTTATGAAACATTATTATTACTGTATCAGAGTTTTTTCGGAAGTAGAAGACATCGTAGTTGGTTATTGTAAGTTACATTAGTTCCCAGTCATATTAACGTGCTTTCTTCTTGTTTCAGCCACAGTTGTTTCTAAACGAAAGAGATACGACTTCCTTTCAGGTATCTTTTATGCTTGCACTCAATCCTACTCCTAATTAAAAATATGATTTTTGGTCTACCATCATTTATGCTGTCTAATGCATAATCGTTAACAGATTACGTTCCGGAGAAGGTAAAAGCCGAGGATGCATTGGCAAAGAGAAAGTTAGCCGAAGCAAAAGCAGGGTAGGAGTTCCAGAACATACTAAAGGGAGACCACTAGGAAATTTGCAACCTTGTACTATTGTACAATGTATTGGATGCACTTGTTCTTCATCCACTTTTGCAAGTGCACAAAACATACACGAAATTAGTTCATGTTATTTTGGAAGATCATAATTTTTCCCGACGATGAAAAATTCGGTGTTATGGGCACATTCGATGGTAGGGCAGCTGGTGAAGTGGGAGTGAAGTCGGGGTCTCGCTGTCGATGCGTAGCTATAGCTGTTTTTCTGTAATATTTGCAGAAATCTTATGAGAAATGTGTTAAGATTTCATGTCAGGGTACTTGTCCTGCCAACAGTGTGCAAGATGTTTTATGCTTTTCTTTGTCGTGTTTTTACTTGAGCACGATCCTTCATCCCCCGTTTCTCCCATATATTTTTGTCTCTTTAAAAAATATGAAGAGGCTTTTTAGCCAAAATGGTCACTGAGATTGTTTAAAACCAATAGAAGTAGTTTCTGAGATTATCCATAGACAATCATTTTGATCCTTCTATGAGAAATTTCCGTTAAATTTAAGAAACCAGTTTAAGGGATATGACAAGAATACTCTTAATTCAACAGTCTTGTAACAATCAAAATGATTGACGGTAGACAATCTTAGAGACCAAAGTACATAGTTATGCAAATCTTGAGAACCGTTTTGGCTAAAACGCCATATGAAAACTATAGAGCTCCCGTTAAACACCACAGAAAACTTTCATTTATATGAATCACATCCGAAACACATACCGGTGCTAGTTTTAAAGCGAAACACTCGACACCAGCGCAGGCAACTCCGATATCCTTTTTATTCTGGCCATGGTGACCATTACAAGAATACAGATTCTCTGAAGTATTTTGTAACTTGAAAGGAAAATGAAGAGATTTTGCCTCTGCAGACGCAAAACAATGGGTATTTGTACATGTATTGTCCTCTAGAAAAGCAGTCAACAGCAAGTGAATATTGTGAGTTGTAAGTAGTAAACCTACCTATGCAAAAACCTAAAAGCAATGCATCTCTCTCTACCCCTCTTTCCGCGCTTCTTCTGTAAAAGCAAACGTCGTTTGTCACCGTTGAGCTAGATCATAGCCATCAACTGAAACAACTCAACGACCTGGTATGCTACGTATGGCATTCTGAAGGAACCAAGTTGCTGGAAGCGGCATAATTACAGGTTCAAACGGCGAATCAGCACTACGGAAGGTACCCCAATCGACTGCTTTTCGACATTTCCTTGAAATTAAAAGCGCCACCTTTGCCTGTCAGTGGTTGTTGCTCCTTTGAAGTAGCGCCGAGCAGGGATTGTGGGTTGTATGATTTACTTTCAGTGAATGGCTTGCTTTTTGCCAGTTCTGTGTAACCTTTGCCTGTGAGGAGTTGGTCCTTCGGACTAGCACCTAGCAGGGCTTCTGCGTTTGTTTTAGTTTCAGGCTCACCGGGTCTCATCCAAATTTTCACATGCCCCTCCCAAGATGCGGTGAGAATAGCATCCTCTGTGAAAAGTAATCCGGATAGGGGCTCAGAATGAACGCAGTGGGACACCAGTGGGGAGAGCTTTGGAATGTCCCGCATGCTGGGAGCAGGTTGAAGAGTGCCAATAGGGTAAACGCTGTCCCAATGGGATGACTGGCTACCTGTGCTGAATGTTGGAGATCCACCAAGCGAACTTCGGCGAAGCGGCACTACAATCTCATCCATTGGCAGGTCCCATAGGAGCAATTTTGTGTCCTGTAAACACGTGTATGAGAGGTGGAAGTAGAAAGACAAGCAAAACAGATTGAAAAAAGAGAGCACAACAAAAGCAGAAAGATTTCATGGCCGATTTTAGGTTCATAAAAGTAAATCATGTCCCAATTTCTTTCTTTGAAAATCCCGCACCTGGCTATTAGATTCTTTATTTGGACTTAAGCAATTGTCTCCACCCAAAAACGAAACAAAAAATTGGACAGTTAAAAAGTAATTTTGATACCAACCAGCAGGAGCAAAAGTTTAAAAGAATAAGTAGTTTAGCTGTTTGATGGGGATATTATAAGCTGATAAAGATAAGCCCTTGTCGACAGAGAAAAAAGAAGGTGAACATAAGCCCTCAACTGTTATTATCTTTAAACATATTAAGCATATCATCTCAGTGTTTATTTTAGGCAAGGATGAGAAGAGGAGAGCAAATACCTGACCCACAGAACCAAAACGGTAAACAATATTTTCTTCCGTGTCATTTGAACTTGGTGGTGACCAATATGAATCAAAAGCAACACCACTGACCTGCATACATCAGGGCTGAAAGGTGTAAGATGTTGAGTTTTTGACAAATCAACAAGAGGGAGAGAGAGAGAGAGAGAGAGAGAACTCAATAAATATTCACAAAAGTTCTACTGAAACTGTACCCATGAGTTGTGCCCTTCACCCCAAGCTACTACTTTTCTATCTTCCATGCTCCACACGGTAACAAGATCCTCTTCCCCTCCTGTCAAAATGTATTTCCCATCCGGACTGAGAAACAACACATCATGAAGGTCAAATATGAACAACATAGAGATACAACATATTCAGTCTGACGAAAATTCGTATGATGTCATGTGGAACGCAAGTATAACTTTCTGGATAAACTAATGACAGGAATTCGGCCAGTATAATTCATACATCAAGGAAAATATATATTTTTATCTTTTTACCTCCACGAGCAACACAGAAGAGCACCATAATAACTCTTACCACCGAATACTAGTTGTTCTTTTGAGTAGTCAAATACTCGCAAATAGCCTACATGTAGCACCTAATATCAGTACCAATTAACAGACGCACTCATCCACAAAGTCACAAGCCTAACAGATTGAGAAATACCATCTCTACCGACGGTTGCCAAATTTTCCCCATCTGCTGAGTAAACAATGCTGTTTATTGAACCTTGGCAAATATGCCATCTGGAAATTGGATTACTCTGCAGATAAACCATAAAATGAAAAAGGGGGGAAAAAGAAACCCAAAGGAAGATGGTAAACAGTTCTATATCTGGTTCTTGTATAAGCTTCAGGAAATAACAAAAGTTCCAACTATCAGCCAAACTTCATAACCCATATGGCAGTATTGCAGCAGCTAACACAAAAATGTGGAAAATATAGGCCAATAGGCAGTGGTGGTAATGATATTATTTGAACTTGGTCATAATAGTATGTACTTTAAAAGCAATCTTTTGAATAAGCAGACAATTACATATAATAAATTAATAATGCTTTACTTAAAATGCGAAGAAATTTTATACATTGATATTACCTTACTGGATCTTGCATGAGCCACCGAAAATTGAGTATGATCCTTTATAGCTGGGAAAGAAGAATCACCAGCACTTTCCTTACTCTAAAATGAATTAACGCTGATTTCAGTTCATGGAGTAAGGAAAATAGGAAAACCAGGAAAGGATAAATAGCATTTGACATAGGAAAAATTAAAGCTTAAGGCTTGCCTTCTCATAGACATACAAATTTCCATCAGCATGAGCAGCAACACAGGTACCATTCCCTTTAGGAACCCACGCAACACTGGTACACCGGCTGTTAAAACCAACTAGTTAGTTTGTGCATGAAGACTGCTAATCATAGGACTTGTGCCCCCAATTACACCAAAACAGATACCACAAAGAACATTCGAAAAGCACACCCAATGAGAAAATAAATGCACTCTTCCCCCACCCCCGACAATGCATTTGGGTCTGTTGCTTCCAAATGTTTTAACCCTTCCAAGCCAATAGCTAGAGTGATTACAATTTATTACATTAGCAAACTGTATTTGAAATATAACAACCACTTTTCTGGTTCTACTATGATACATGCACTTCTGGGGTAAAAACCCGGAACTGACAGATCGCCAAAAATAGGATTTTTCCTGGATAAGAAACTCTCAGCTCCACTTATGCAACAATTGCTAGTTTGTTTATCTACCTTATGCCAAACGTATTTCTTGACCCACCAATTTCTCCGTAACACTATCAGGATTATATGCACACCATTAGTGATAATGTGCATTCTCGATACCTTTTTTCATCAACGAACTCATGAAATATAAGGAAATAAGGCAAAGTTGGGCAATAAACTTGCCTGCTAGTGACAGCACCTTCTTTGTTATAATGATGGGCACCAACAAGCTTCTTTCCAGAATCTTGCAATTGCTGCCTCAAAGACGCGGAATAAACTACAACAACAAACAAAGTAAACAAGTCACACACAGCCTCATCATCACCAAAACCCCATTAAATCACATAGAAACAAAACTCCTTACTATCTCCAGAGCTCAATCCAATAAGCAAGTCATGCCCGTCCTTGGCCTCGGAATCAAAAGCATGGCACACTGGGTTCGAATTGCTAAAATGCAAGGACTTAATAGGATCCTACAAGCAAAATCCCCAAAACCCTTTACACAAATTTCCCCAAAACAAAAACGCAATATCCAAACTCCACAAAAAAACCGATGCAACCCCAAGAAAACTGAAAATTACCTTATCAGGCGAATTGAGATCACTGATATAAACAGTATCCCCAACATTGAAAACCAAAAACGACCCTTTACCGCCGAGATTCGAGTTGACAGCGTGGTGGGTCCCATTCGACCCGCCGAAATGAGCATACCTGCTACTCCCATTGCTGGTTCTGCTATATCCACTCCCTCCCACAAAGTTTAGAGCTTTGCCCCCGCTTCCTCCCAACAGCCTCGCCGCCGCCGACCGCACCCCGGTGGTGCTGAAACTCGGCGTCAGCGTAGGCTGGCTGCTAGGCTTGTCCTTGAGCTGCGCTACCGTCACCTAAAATTCACAACCAAACACTGACTAACTCCGAGTCAACAGAGACAGCGACAACATAACTAACACAACCGATTAATTAGGGCCTCGTTTCGCTTAATCCGACATTAAATTACATTAATTTCGTTTTTTTTAGTTTTTGTTTTTGGGTACCTGAGAAATTGACTTGGCGTACGAGTAGGGGAGGAGGTTGGGCGGCCGAGTCTTCTCCGAGTGAAGTTTGTATCGGCCTTCTGGGGTTTTGAAATACGCCTTTATCAGAGATTGGGTCTGGGAATTTGTTGTGCCAGAAGAAGAAGACGACGTCGTTTGGGGCGTCGCCGTCGTTGACGATGATGCCGACGGCATCGGGCTCAGGCAGTTTTTGTTGTTGGCGTACCCGTTGTTGAACATCGTCGTTGAAATTAAGGGAATCACAGCCACCGACTGACAGAGAGAGACAACATCGTAGAGTGTTCTTTTTAACTGGTTTTTTGTTCTGCTTTTTGGGGAGGCGGGATCGGGTGGTGCGCGGGGTGTTGGTGTCTCCGATGAGGATGGGAAAGTAATCGAATGAAAGTGTGGTTTTTGTTTGGGGTGTTTGGAGCTTAGTTGACTTTGGGGTTTGGACTTTTCGGCAAGGAGATGGAGATGGTCGGTATCTGCGACGGTGAGGGCGATTCCACGTGTTGGCTGGCTGTCAATTTGGAGGAAATTTAAAAAATGAAAGGCATAATGCTAGGAAGATTTGTACGCAATCTCACGTTATTGTTGATAATTGAATTGTTACTAATGTATTTATTAATGTAATTATTTTTATATGATTTATAAATGTGATTTAAAAATTAATTTACCTAGCAATTACCTAAACTCGTAAATTATCAATAAAATAATGTTTATCCTCCCCATCTTTAAGATTCAATGAAAATTCAAAGCGAAGTGTTATAACATAAAAATGTACGAGTTGGTGGATACCATCATACCTCTTCCATTTCACTCTTTGATTCTCTCCCTACCATGTGTTTAACATGTAAAAATTGGATTATTGAGCTTGGCACAAACACAACCCATTTATAATTCTTACAAGTTCGGAATAGAAGAAAACTTTGTTTCGAAAGCAAGATAAAAATCTAAAAAAAGGAAAGAGTTGTGAACAACAGAAAACAACGGTTGAAAGCGATAAGATACAAATTCGCCATAACCGAAGTAGAGTGTTGAGAACCAACGAAAACAAAGCTCGAGAGCGAAAGACAAAGACTAATTGAAATAAGAAACGGAAAGAAAAGTGAAAGAACACAACCCCAAAAGAGTAATCCACGATGATCGACACCAGGCATTGACAATTCTGACGTTTTCTCTATAGCAATGAGAAAAAACAAACAAAAATCGAAAACAACGCAAGGGCAATTTGTGCACTCAAAAACACCTGCCCATCATGGGCATACTCGACATTTTACTGTAGAAAAATAGGAAATAGCACGGCAAGCGCAGAAAAAAACTGAAGACATTTCCACTCTTTCACTATTAATGAACAGTGACATCCTTAACTGAGTTTTAGCATATATAATATAGAAATTGTGCCATGTTTGTGGTCGTGTCAAGAAATAAGTTACACAATTGCTAACTTCATGAGTTTGAACCGTATTATGATGCCGTATCAAAATTGTCACTCCAAAATATTCCTTCAATTGAAGATGATGTTTTATCGCAATAACAGAAATTAATCATGTTTATACACCATGGTGTCTGGTGTGATAAAAAGGTATGTCCTTTTAATTTTGATATGCATTTGCTATTTGGGTCGGCTTAGCTCTAGGTGGGTTTCTAATATGGGCTAATACTTGTGATAGACTTTTAACTGGTCTTGTAAGATCCATTACAATTCAAGGTGTGGGAGGACAATGAATGGGCTGTTCCCTCTTGGGCTGAGGCAATAGTCCCGCCTATTTTGCATTGGGCTCATGAGAGGTATGGCTAAGGAATGTTGAAATGTCATTGTGAATCTTTTCGTCTATAAAAAGGTGAACTGCATTGATGAAGTCACAAATTAATTCTTTTTTTAGGAAAAAAAGAAAAGAAAAAAAGTGAGCCAAATTTTGCATTGGGCTACAACCTAGGGCAGCCCTACCATGGTTCTGCCTAGTGCTTGAAAGAACTGTAGGATGCATTTTCATAGTTGACAAGTGCAAACTAATTTGAGTTGAGTTTCTGTACGAGTATCCAAAATGTCATAGATGAAAGTTTTGACGTAATGCGGCCTTGGATGTAGTAAAGGTGGCTAAGATAGTGTGTCTTCCCTTCTTCACCTATTTTGAAATCAGGTAAATTTTATATATCAAGTTCGCGTTAGTTTTTAAGGAAATATATCATGCTGAAGGAAAAATATGATGTTATTTAGTAGTGATATTCTTCTTCACTTGTAAATAAGAGGCTTTAGGTTCGAATCTTGAAAATAACAAGTTTGATACTAATTTCTTCCTCATCCTCTTAGTGCAAATATATTGTTATATAAAAGAAAGGACTAAATCTTTTAGGATAGGTCACAAACACAATCTTTTAGGATAGGTCACAAACACAATTGCAAGATGAGCATAGTAACAAATAAAAGATAGGGAAGAGTACCATATTGTCCTCAAGCTTACTTCTTGTAGGATTTTTTTTTTTTGAACAAACGATATTATTTACACTAAGAAGAAAGGGGGGGGGGAGTGGGCTTAGCCACATAATGATCTAGCAATAATAATATGGTTCAAATACACATTTGATGAGAATCGAACATAAAACCTCTCACTTACAAATGAAGAGGAATATCATTAGATCATAGTACTAAGTGGCACTTATTTAAGGATGTTAGAATTTGGGGTTGACTTTCCAGTTTCAGGGAATTAGAAGGTCCGTCAGGATTTGGGGTTGATCATTTTGAGTTTAGAGTTTTACAATGTCATTTGGAAGGTTAATGGCTTATACAGCCGATGGTTGGGTTGGGCATTTTTATCATTTTAACTTACAAATTAGTTCGACTTTTCATTTAATAACGAAACTAAAAAATTGAAATTATTTTGTTGGTATACAAACTAAAAGGTCCCAAATCCCCTCCCCCATATTCAAAATCAAATTAGGCTACCGCTCGAATTAAAAAAAAAAGATTTTGACTTTTAGTATTTATGTAACTTTATATATCTAAAGTTATGATGTAATATATCGTAGCTGCTTCAATGAAACACATAGAAATGAAATTTCAGAATCACAATAGCTAATGTCAACTGATAGATGTAGAGGTAAGGCCCCATCACCGAAAGAGAAAATAACAACAGAACTTTAAGAAAGCAAATGGAAAGCAATAAGATTTGTGAAGGTGACCTACTTGGAGCAATCATCAGCAGATCAGCAGATAGCAAGGGAGTTTTCATCGATGAGGATGAGGTTGGCCCATAGGGATTTCACAACTTGCATATCTTCATCAATCATCGTCATGCTCCTTCTGAGAAAGTAAAAAGCCATACTTCTTCCTTTTAAGTTTGCGGCTTGCAGTGCATGCATACATAAGTGAAAACAAAGCAATCATGCATTTACTAACCAGCTTTATTTGCCCACACCCACTTGATTTTCCCTCTGGTTTTTTTTCTTCTTTCCCAAGCAAACCAGTAGCTCTGACACCATAATCTCACAATACATGCATATCCTCTCCTTCTCAAGAAAATAAGACATGCCCTCTCTCACCTAATACCTCCTCTCCGACAACTTATATAAACGCTCTCTTTTTCTCCGAACTCATATCAGACATTTCTGCGCAAAATATCAAACACATCCCACCACACTTAAATATGATGAAGCAACAATATCAGCCTCTCTTCTCACTCACACTTCTACTCATCTTCCTCTCCCATTGCACCAAAACCCTAGCCCAAGGCCCTGCTGCTGCCCCGGCAATCACCAGCCCAGCGGCCGTTCCGGTACCACCAGCCAACGCCCCGGCACTAACCAGCCCGGCGGCCATTCCGGCACCACCAGCCAACGCCCCAGCGCCACCAGGCCCAACCAACGTCACCAAAATCCTTGAAAAGGCAGGAGGCTTCAACGTCTTAATCCGCCTTCTAAACCACCCAAGTCGATAACCAGCTCTACGGCCAGCTCAACAAATCCAGCACTGAATTTACACTTTTAGCCCCGTCCGACAGCGCCTTCTCTAAACTCAAAGGTGGATCCATGAACTCGCTCAGCGTTGAACAAAAAGTCAAGCTCTTGCAATTCCATCTAATCCCAGATTACCTCACTACCCAAAACTTCCAAACTGTGAGCAATCCGGTGAGAACCCAAGTCGGAAACGGTTTCGATTACCCGCTAAACATCACCACATCAGGCAAGACAGTGAACATTTCAACTGGCCTTGTCAACACTTCAATCTCAGACACTGTCTACTCTGATGGTCAATTGGCTATTTACCAAGTTGACAGTGTGCTCCAACCCTATGGTATTTTTGCTCCCAAGCTTCGGCTGCCGTCACCGGCATCCGCTCCTGGAGAAGAACAGCCTAAGGAGGAGCCTTCTCTTGACCCTGTTGCTGAAGTGAAGTCTGGTGCTGTGCCTACACTGAATATCCCCAAGATTAATGGCATTGTCTCTATTGGAGTTGCATTATTAGCTGCTGCAGCTATAAACTTTTTGTGACGAACTGGCTGGCTGTGAATTTGGAGGAAATCGAAGAAATAAAAAGCATAATGCTTGGGAGATCATATGTTTAAACTATATTTTGTGAATTATATGACGTTATTATTGGAGTGTTGATTGAAGTCTTTATTTCTTATCGGTGACATATTACATAACTTACAAATTTGATCTAAATTTTTTATCTACTTAACATTACCTAAACTCGTAAATTACCAGCAAAACAATGCTTATCCTCCCCATCTTTAAGATCAAATGAAAATTCAAGGCGGAGTGTTATAACTTAAAAATGTAGGAGTTGGGTTAACATGTAAAAATGGGATTATTGAGCTTGGTACAAATGCAACCCATTTGTAATTCTTATTTAGAAATTGTACCATATTCATGTTCGTGTCAAAAAAATGAGCTACACAACCGCTAGTTTCATGAGTACAAACCTTATTATGATGTCGTGTCGTAAATTGTCACACTTAAATGTCATTTTACTTACAGATAATATTTTATCACAGTGACAAAAATCAATTATGCAGTGTGTAAAAAGGATGTCCTTTTAATTTTGATATGGATTTGCTATTTGGGTCGGCTAATCTCTAGTTGGGTTTCTAATATGGGCTAATATTTGCTTTTAACTGGTCTCGTAAGATCCATTACCATTCAAGATGTGAGAAGACAAATGAATGGGCTGTTCCCTTTTTGGGCCAAGGCAAGAGTACTGTATATTTTGCATTGGGCTCATGAGAGGTAATGCTTTTTTTTTTTTTTTTAACAAACAACAGTTTCTATACCAAGGGAGTGGACTAAATTCACCTGACTTGTTAAAATAATGTAGTTCAACTTCGCCTTTGGTGAGAATCGAACCTAAGACCTCTCACTTACAAATGAAAAGGAATACTATTAGGCCGTAGTATTAAGTGACGCATAAGAGGTAATGCTAATTATATAAAAAC